AAAAAAGTAGGTGACAAAGTTTGAAAGCACATGAACACCTGTACATCCATAGCATATGTGAGTTGTTTTTTTTTCCACAGATCTCTTAGGTTGATTTATAACCTTGTACAGTATATCCCTTAACACAGCCTCAAACAGTTCGGGTCTCCGTAAAACATATACTGTACATTCCTTGAGGTTCTCTAATACTCGTGTACACCTTCACTATGATCATTTATTACTAACACTTGTGTATATTTGTCCGTGCCTACAGACCATGGTGGTAATCAGCAAGGGGAAAGACATCTTTAGGTTCAGCTCTACCGACGCCATGTGGATACTTAGTCCATTCAACTCGGTGCGCCGGACTGCTATTTTCATCCTCATTCATCCCCTCTTCAACTTCTTCATCATCTGCACCATCCTGGCTAACTGTATTCTCATGATCGTCCCGACCAGCGAGATGATAGAATCTTCTGAGTAAGTCCACCATAACCTAGTGCTCTCTCATTTTTATTGTTAATTTGTGTGAATACCTATCAGTATTGTGATAGAGAGAGGGAACGAGCTAGCCCCAGCCACGTGTATCGTAATATATCCATGTGTAGTACAGCTCTACACGAGGATAGAAAGGTAAAATATGATCTTAATTATCGTACTCTACCCTAGTAATACTCTAACTCTTTGTCACACACTGGTTAACTAACTTCAAGAGATCCTTCGTCTCAAAGAGGATTATTTTCCCTGAACGCTAGTCCCCAGGTGATGGACCAGACCCCAGTATGCAGCAGGTGTTCCCTCTCTGGATCACTACTGTATACTGAGTCACTGAAACAAGCAGCGCAATGCTCTGGTGTCTCCTGTGGTTTCAATGGGACTAGAACCCAGCTCATTCAGGGCCTTGGTGCCCCAGGCTCCCGGAGTCTCTGGCCCTTTTTGAACAACACAATATTAAGGGATCAGGTTCATGTACTTCTCTCCTTACTGTTCTACTGATGTGAAGGGAAGTAGTTACTAAGGTGGAAGCACAAGTGTAGTCTAAACTAACTGCTTACCATCCTCTCAGGGGGTCAGTCCACAGTTGGCAGATGTCTCTTGATGATGGCATATGTATTTCCTTGTGCCTCACCTGCCAACCCCCGGATTTTCCACATAGAGGGCGTGGCTGTCGTCTTGGTTTGCCCACTCGTTGCCTCATAAGCACTTGTTAACAGTGTTGATAGGGGCCACAAGGTGAAGGGCTATTCTAACACGGTGGGCCTGCAGACCAATGAGGAGTTTGGGGTGACCAAGAGAAAGTTCCAAGCGTTCACTGTCTACAAATTTGCTCTTTTCGGGTCATTTGGTGCTCCCTCAAGGCCGTCCGAGGCAGTCTTCTCAATCTTCTTAATTTAGTGTTACTCGAGTTTTTGTCATGTTTGATTGAAAAATTAGTGGCATTAAAATGGTGATAGACTTGATGTTTATGAAAACGTCTGGGGATTTATTGTTCAAACCAAATTAGTGTTATAATCTGTAAATCAATATTCGTATTACAGTACTGCCTGTTGTCTGCTGGCCCTCGTGCTAAAATAATATGGCAAAACCACTCATAAATATTTTAAAGAATAAAATATGTTACTTTCACTCTACTAATGATTTATATTAATTGTGTCTACTAATTTTCATTTTGTTTTCCATCATTTTTTATGTCGCATTTTTCATCTTGTTAGGGGTATCCCATATGTTTCTTCAAAGATGTTTTTGAGATAAGTTCAAGAATTTTCTCAAGTGTCATGAGTTTAATCTTAGTGTCAAGTATATCACACGTCCTTCCTTTAATAATTTATCGTCAATTTCAGAGTGGTTTTCACCGCCATCTACACATTTGAGTCGGGCGTGAAGGTGATGGCAAGAGGCTTCATATTGGAAAGTTTCACATATCTACGAGACGCTTGGAACTGGCTGGACTTCACAGTTATATCCTTAGCGTATGTCTACCAAAAATTACATTGCTGTTTGATCATATGTTTGTCTGATAGTTTGAAAGGTTTTTGGTTATTTTATGTGATCAAGTTTTTAGGTAAATCTAATCTCCCAAAAGTGTATAACGAAGGACTGTTGTCGTCTTGAAATATTTAAGAAGTTATCACATACATGCTTATGATTTATTATACAGTGTTTACCCAATGATATCTTAAAGATAGAGTACTGCTAATAGCTTAGGGACTTAGATATATATGCTGGCCATTCTTAGTTATCCTGTTATCGAGATTATTGTAGACAGTTTAATTAGAGATTATGGTCAAGATAATAAATCTTCAATTAATACAGTATGTCTGGTATTCTGAACTTACAAATACTGTAAGTTACTTGTATGACAATTCTAGAGTTGTAGACGAATATTTCTAGTATTTAGACAATATACCTGAACACTATATATCAGACACTTAGTAGTATCAGAATAGGTTTTGTCAATGTATATGTCCCAGCCATTCATTTTACTACTACTAAGGATATTAAACTAGCTGAGAATAATGAAATATAACCAGTAGAGGATGAAGAACGTGGGGATGAAACATTGTTAGGCAAATTGAAAAGTTAGTCTTTATAATTTTTAAAGCGCAAAAATATTAATACTTTTTGTAGAGCTTGTTGGTATTTTGGAACCTGTAGAAGGATCAGCCACACACATAAGAAGCAGAGGAAGATACTGTGAATAACAAGCAGTATTGCTTTTACAGGGGCTCGTCAGGTTTTGTGCAGTGTGGCAGCGCTGTGTTTGTTTACATTTGACAGAAGGAAACTCGTAATCGTAAACATACTATGGAATCAAATTAAAACGATAGTAAAACAAATTTATCAAAGATAATTTTTTGTGAAATGTTTATATGACGAGCCCCTGTAAACGCACTAGTGAAGGGACTGTACTTAACTTTAGCATTAGAGTTGTTGGTTAAGACTGTTAACTTATAGTGACCTCTGTAACCTCCTTCAGATATTTGACAATGGGCATTGACCTGGGTAACCTGGCCGCCTTAAGGACATTCCGTGTGTTGCGAGCTCTGAAGACTGTGGCCATTGTCCCAGGTGGGTGTTGCTGACCTTGTCTACTGCGTCTCCCTCCTTACAGCCATACCCACAGCCCATACCCACAGCCCATACCCACAGCCCATACCCACAGCCCATACCCACTGTCCCCTTCCAATAGATCATCCGTACACGCCCGCTTTATAACACCTACCCATAACCCCTTCTCATAGCCCATACTCAAATTCCTTGCTCATAGCTCCTACTCACAGCCCTTGCTCACAGCTCTTACCTAGGGCCATTTATCATAGGTTCTAAACACACGATCACTGCTCATAACACCTGCTTGCAGTCTTGCTCTAAGCTATTGCCCTCAACCCACCCTCAGACCCAGCAAACCCTATGTAAACGAGAGTCTGCATACAGCCTCCACATATAACTTAGTACAGAGCCTCTTTATACAACTGATTCACATAACCTCTGCATATTACTTGTGTATAAAGTCACTAAATTTAAATCTTCACACAGAACTGGAACCAAACGTCTCCTTACAGCTCTTTCTTATATGAACCACACCCACCTCCTACATAAACCTCAGCACTAATATACTGTTTACAATCTTAAACATACATCTCCTACATAAAGTCGTGATACACAATCTATCCACATAACGTTTATATACACACACACACACACACACACACACACACACACACACACACACACACACACACACACACACACACACACACACACACACACACACACACACACACACACACACACACACACACACACACACACACTATTGCATTATACATCTACTTATAGTCTCTGGACACACATATTTACACATAAAATCCCTACACAATAAATCATCAGAAAACATCAATATGTAACCCCTATTTATACAGACACACACACACACACACCCTGAACAAAAGCTCTATGCACACCTGAACAAAAGCTCTACACACCTCCTTAACAAAAGCTTTACACACACCCTGAAGAAAATATCTACACACACTTCCTGAACAAAAGCTGTACACACACACCACCTGAATAAAAGCTCTACACACACCTCTTGAACAAAAGCTCTACACACACCTCTTGAACAAAAGCTCTACACAACACCTCTACACACAAACCTTGCATACACTCACACATTTCCTTATTACATTAAAGTTTTTCACCAAACTTTTGTCTACAAACCTTGCCCAAAATTTCACCAACAGGTTTTACATTACACCATATACACAGCCCCTGCCTAAAACTTTGAACAAAGCCCTAACCTAACGCAACCTAACCTAACCTAACCTAACCTAACCTAACCTAACCTAACCTAACCTAACCTAACCACACCAGTAATCACCTTTATATCCATGTTGAAGATAAATAGCAATTATATCTAACTTTACAGTGTGTGTGTGTGTATATGTGTGTGTGTGTGTGTGTGTGTGTGTGTGTGTGTGTGTGTGTGTGTGTGTGTGTGTGTGTGTGTGTGTGTGTGTGTGTGTGTGTGTGTGTGTGTGTAATATCCCGTTTACCTTTGTATATAGTGTTCCAGGCATTTGGTGATGTAATTTTACTATGAGATGACAACTTTACTTCCCTACGCTTGAATTGCTTAACTCAGTACTATATATAAGTGCAGAGACTGAAAGAAATTAGAATTATATTTCACATTTTGTTGTCGTATGGTCTATATGGTTATCTGTCGTATGGTCTGTTGTTGTGTAGCTTTTACCAGAGAGAGAATGAAATTGACTATACTAATTCCCAGTTACCTCCTGCCCGTCCCTTAGGTCTGAAGACGATCGTGGGTGCTGTGATAGAGTCAGTGAAGAATCTACGAGATGTGATCATTCTGACTATATTTTCTCTCTCCGTTTTTGCCTTACTTGGACTCCAGATATATATGGGAGTATTGACCCAAAAGTGTATCAGAAAGTTTGATTTTACGAAAGAGAATTGGACACACGAAGATTACAACAACTTTATGAAGAATGAATGTAAGTAAAGCAGTGTGTTTACTAGTGATATGTGTTAACTCCCGATGTTATCTAGTACAGGTTGTAGCTATCCCTTTTTTACTGGCTCGATACTTTCATTTCATTTTTTTGTAAACATCAAATTAGCTTTAAGAATGAGATGGGTAATTAAATAGGAAATGAAGGTTTTTTTAATAAGTTGTTTTGCCAGTGGTCAAGGTATAGCCCCAGCCTACGCTAATCAGTGCTTGGAGAGTAAGTCCAAAAGGCAAAATGTGTACGCAAATAATGTCTCTGATGTATGCAGATATATAAAAAAAAAAGAGAAATTTGTGCACAGAAATATCAGCAAGTAATACAGATGCAGTTGGTTATGAAATTAAACCAAGAGAAAATTATTTGAAAATGTCCATGGGGGAGGTAGCATCATCGTGGTAAGTACAGCCTTGTTTACTTTCTTCATCTACCTTCAGTAACAGTAACAGTAACAGTACAGTACACGTTTTGCTCCTGTTCCCTTATTTTTCATACGCAAATTTTTATCTTATTTTAGCTTTCAGTAATATTGATATACATTGCGTTCTAAGATTTATTTATAAATTGCTGAGTCACTGACTAATGTGGACTGTTATAATACTTGCCAAATTTTCCTTATTATCCATATAACATGTTTATTATTATCTATGTGATGACGGACTGACTTCATTTAATTTTTTGCGTAACACACACACACACACACACACACACACACACACACACACACACACACACACACACACACACACACACACACACACACACACACACACACACACACACACACACACACACACACACACACACACATTCTATATATGTATGTATCCCATCAGACACGGTAAGTTGTATATAATTGATTCAGTGAAGATTTTGTGACTCTAACTGACTCATGTCATTAATTGTGACCCGACCTGACTCATACCTGACTCGGGTCATTACTTACCTGACTCGATTACCCTTACCTGACTCATACCACTATAACCTCACCTGACTCATACCACTATAACCTCACCTGACTCATACCACTATAACCTCACCTGACTCATACCACTATAACCTCACCTGACTCATACCACTATAACCTCACCTGACTCATACCACTATAACCTCACCTGACTCATACCACTATAACCTGACTCACCACTGAACCTCACCTACCACTATAACCACTAATACCTCACCTGACTCATACCACTATAACCTCACCTGACTCATACCACTATAACCTCACCTGACTCATACCACTATAACCTCACCTGACTCATACCACTATAACCTCACCTGACTCATACCACTATAACCTCACCTGACTCATACCAACTATAACCTCACCTGACTCATACCACTATAACCTCACCTGACTCATACCACTATAACCTCAGCTCATTACACTATAGTGACTCTACAGCTACCGCCAGTGTGATCCCATCTTACTGATAATATTGTGATCCCATGTGACTTTTCCTGTTGTTATCTCACCTGAGTTGTGCACCTGTATGTAACCCCTGCTCTCGTGGCCCCAGCTAACGTGTTGTACCAATGTGTCAAAGTAAAAAACCCCCACATGATTTGCACTGTTGTGAACCCATGTCCCCTGCTGTTGTGAACCCACTTGACGTATACTTATTTAACCTCTCTTGACATGAATTACTGTATTGTAAACCCGTGTGACTTGTGCCGTTAATTTAATTAGTAAACTTACATCATTTGTAACCATTGTTAGCTCACGTGATTTGTACCAATGTTAGTTACAATGTTTTTTTTGGTGATTGTAATCCTATATAATTTGTACCATAGTAACCTCCATGGTTTTAGTACTATATAACTTATATTGCTATAGGGTTACCTGGTATATATATACAAAATCTCATGACTCGAAACACGAAGTCCACCTGACTTGTGTCTAAATGCACACATATGACTTGTTACAGTAAGTTATGAATTATCATCATTTTTATCATAATAAAGCCACTAATATGCATCACAATGAGCTCAGGTCCTTCATACAGTGTGTCCATACGTTCTCAACCAGCTTTGTGTTCTCAACCAGCTTTACGTTCTCAACCAGCTTTATGGCCTCACACTTCTTGACTTCATAATGGTGAATAACAAACTTGCTCAAAAAATGTGTAGGGGTAACTTGGTCTCATCGTTAACCCATTTTATTATGTCATTACTAGTTTATTATTAAGAGTTAAAACTAGCAGATAATAGTAATTAACCAGATAGTTTCTTCGGGAGTGAGAATACTCTGAGTTACTCATTCATGATTTCATATGGTATTCATTGTGTTCTGGTAATAATTCAATGTTATTACTTCTCATTCATAAACTGTTGGTGAGGAGTTACTCATCTTTATAATGCCTTTCTTATTGAGAATTTATTATAAAGAGTTACCTTCCATGTTGACAGTTTCCCGTTAATGTGTCTCTTAGGTCGCCATATGGTGTTACTCTGCTGTCAACAGTTTTCTCTGCATGAGGATTTTAATTATCTCTCGAACAACACAAAAAGGCATTAGAAAAGTCAAAAGGACAACTGTAATATCTTCCTCCTACGTGTTAATTACGTCTTGTCGTGTACTGTACGAGTACCTCACATTCTTCAAAAACCTGTTGGGGTCATATATAACTCATAACCATTTTACTTTACCTTAATCGTGTTATGTTACAAGAGAGAACTTTAATATTTCATGACTTTTTCTAATTTTCTGAGGGTTCTATTTGGTATAAACTGCAACTAAATAAAGTAACGCGTAGTCCAGGTTATTATTTTTTTATCCTGTAGTTCAATTAACCAGAAACTTCATAGATAAGGCTTTAATTTGTACAAGACGCTATAATTATATAAATCCTTCTTTACATTTGGTACAGTAATTTTCTTTGAGTGATTGTATACTATTTTCAATATTGAGAGTTCTTTCAGTTAGAGTTATATTAATGGTGGATCAAATCTGACCCAAAAAGACTAAATGTTTACATATTTTAACAGACTAGAAGAGTTAAGATTGTTAGATTCGACCTTTTACTGTCGAACCTCATGAATCATTACCGCTTATATTCGACCTGTTACTGTCGAACCTCATGAATCATTACCGCTTATATTCGTCCTATAACTGTCGAACCTCATGAATCATTACCGCGATATTCGACCTATAACGCTTATATTCGACCTGTCGAACCTCATGAATCATTACCGCTTATATTCGACCTATAACTGTCGAACCTCATGAATCATTACCGCTTATATTCGACCAATAACTGTCGAACCTCATGAATCATTACCGCTTATATTCGACCTGTAACTGTCGAACTTCATGAATCATTACCGCTTATATTCGACCTGTTACTGTCGAACCTCATGAATCATTACTGCATAAGTTTTCCCTTTTTTTCCCTCAAATAAACATTGACATGTCTGCCCCCTGGACCTGAGAAGCTCTGTCATAGCCGAAGTTCTCAGTGTTTCAGCTATTCGCCCACCCTTGTGTTAGCATACTTCCACTTCAACATTCCTCTTAAGTGAAAAATAAAACACCAAGAAAGCATTACTCTTGGCGTTGGCTCATGTTGAATATTAAATTGTATGTACGGTACAATGTATGTGTTTTCAAGTATGGTGATATGATATTTTAGTTTTTATAATGAAAAGAAGATGTATTGAACTGTAATAATACGTTTAAATGTTAAAAAAATATACGTTGAACATATTGATAAACACTGAAATGCGTGAATGTTTTATGGGGAATTTTTGTTCATACATATGTGTTGTGGTTGAATGTGGGTGCGCCAAGTCCGTAGAGTTGCTAGAAAAATACCTTAATATTGTCCATTTTGCATAGTTTTATTCTGCCATAAGACAAAAAGAGAACCATTGTCATTGTATTGTCATCTTAACATTACTATATACAGTATCTATATTGAATAAACATTTAAGGTGCAAAAAACTAAATACTCAACATATGCCATCTGCCCGAGTATGCGATGGTCTGTAATAGTTCACAGTTTTAAGCAGCTAAGAGTCCCATTAATGTTTGCAATTAGTATAACCAGTGATAATTACCGAATATAGACCAGCGTTACACACTTTATTCTCTCCAGATGAACATAAGCAATCCAAGGACAACATAAATATTTTTCAGCACCAGGCTCCATAGTTGAAACATCTAGCAGTGATATTGGTAAGGGGTCCCATTGTGATGTTTGTCTAATTATGTATTTGTCACCATGATTCCTACCAAATAAATCAGAGTACAGTCTTCATATCTGAGGGTTGGTGACCACAGTTCTCTACTCTAAACGTTCTCGGGCTGTTTTGACCAATCCTCTAAGATTTTGTATCTCTCTCGGGGACCAAGTTTTTTATTTCATTCACCCATCCCAGTCTCTTCCTTCCCCTGGTCCTCCTACCCTCAACTTTGTCCATTAATATTTCTGTTATTATTCTCTCATCCATAATTATATGACCAAAATATCTTTTTTTTTTTTCATTTTCTGTACATTTTAAATATTTCTCTTGAAGATTTTGCTAATCTTAGTACTGCTTCATTTGTTTTCCTGTCAGTGTAAATTTTTCTTAACAATCATCTATAACACCACATTTCAAAGGCCTCCAACCTCTTTCTGGTGTCTGTTGAAAATGTCCACGCTTTTGACAATATTAATCCCGGGTTTGAGGAACCTTGAGTATACAGACAGATTAAGAAGAGTGAACTTGGATTCTCTTGAGAGACATAGAGTGAGGGATAATATGATCCAAGTGTTTAAATGAAAGATGAGGTTAAATGGCGGTGATTTAGTGAAGGTTCTTAAACCATCATATGAAACTCGAACACTTAGTAATACTTATAAATTATATAAAAAATAACAATTGGTCTGGGAATAGAGTTATGGATGAGTGGAACAAGTTAACGGGATACCAAACACCATTGGTGGGAAGCTTCAGACAAGGGTTGGTCATTTGTATGAGTGTCGACCTACTAA